AACTTGGAAGTACACTTAAAATAGATTTTTGGGAGGTCGTCAGCTGCGATATAAAGAATGGCTTTGCTTGTCAGCTAAGGTATGCTTTGCAGTTTTTCTTTTTCTACTGTTTTCACAATATAATATATATATAACATATCCAATAATGAATGATAAACAATATATTTGTAATAATTTGCATGAAAGAAAAAAAACAAAACAAAATAATAGTACTAATAATTATGATTAACGTTGAATCATTAAATTTAATTGTCTACAAGTACCATACTTCCGTATAATAATCTACAAGTACAATACTTCCGTGTAATAATCTGCCAGTACATTACTTCCGTCTTATAATCTCCAAGTACATTACTTCCGTCTTATAATATATAAGATCAATACTTCCGTCTAATATTCTACAAGTACAATACCTCCGTCTAATAATCTGCCAGTACATTACTTCCGTCTTATAATCTCCAAGTACATTACTTCCGTCTTATAATATATAAGATTAATACTTCCGTCTAATATTCTACAAGTACAATACTTCCGTCTAATAATCTGCAAGTACATTACTTCCGTCTTATAATCTGCAAGAGTAAAATACTTCCGTCTTATAATATATAAGATCAATACTTCCGTCTTATATTCTGCAAGTACAATACTTCCATATAATAATCTACTAGAACAATATTTCCGTCTAACAATCTGTATGTACAATACTTCCGTCTAATATTCTACAAGTACAATACTTCCGTTTAATAGTCTGCAAGTACCATTTTTCCGTCTAATAATTTACAAGTTCAATACTTCCTTCTAATATTTTACAAGTACAAAACTTCCGTTTAATAATCTACAAGTTCAATACTTCCGTCTTATATTTTACTAGTGCAGTACTTCCTTCAATACTTGCAGTTACATGTTTTTTGACTAAGTGTAATTTAAACATTAAAAATCTCAGATTCCTTATTGCCTATTTTATTTTACTATTTTATCAAAATCTGTAGTAAAGGTCTCATGCGAGAAACGACACTCAATATTTTGTACTAGAACGCTGTTATATGACATTAAGGCTCCAAAAGGTAAATCATTTATGCAATACAGTCGGAAAAAACCAAGAAAACCGTTTTGACCCTGTTCCCCATGTGAGCGTTTTTGCCAAACTATTCCAGATTGAAGCTTTTGGAATTTACTAACAAATACAGGCAATATTTTTATAGATTGCTAATATTTATAGCATTTAGGTTCCATAGGGGGTGATCAATTAATACAGGAAAGTCAGGTTGGACTACTTCAATTCAAAGGCTCTTCATATTTTGGACTTTTTCATATGAAAATCTCTAGGTAAAAGTTTCAGGAAGACATACTGGAAAATATTTTTTTTTGGCGATATTTGATATAAACGTTCAAAAGGACACAAACAGTTTTGAACATAAGTCTTAACATTTATCCTAATTTTACATTTTTTGTTTTTACCTTAACCTGGTTTTGAACTTTATTGTGTTATCAAGACTCCAATATTCAATTTGTATACGGAAATTAACCATACATATAACAATCAGTATTCCTAAAGGGAGGATGAGTTTGGTATTGAGACGCCTGACAGATCAAACAGTGTTGTATACCAGTCGAAATGTTCCATTTGTGTTTTCGAAATTCATTGATCAATTTTGTAGTATTCTTAGATTAGGTGAGCTTTGCTGTTTTACAACAGCTTTGGATTTCTTTTGAGTTTGTTCATCAACGTTATTGTTATAAGTAAAAATGTATCGATTATAACAAACTGTTTGTCCAATATCTATTTCAATTGGCACAGTATATGGTGGAAAAAAGTTTCTGCTTAATTATCTTCTTGAATCTTTTTTAGGGCCCCAGATCAATGGCAATAACAGCAGAGCGCCACGCAACACTCGTCTGTGTGAGGAAAGATAACTCTATTACCTACCAACATATGTACAGTATACAAATATGTACACAGTTACACAGATGTACCTGGTTATATGATGAAAGGTTTCCTAAACCTGACTTTCACAAGCATGGTTGTACTTCTTAAGACCCGACAACATTTCTTCTCTTTCGATGGAGATTGAATGGAGAATATGCAACTGTGATGAGCAGTCGCTTGGCTTGCAAATACGTGAAGGGTATAGCTATCAATATTGTAGTACTTGTATTAATGTGTGAATATTATAAAACAAAAATGCTTCTATCAATGTGTGAATTATGGTGGCATATTATCGTGTTAATGATCAGATGTGACATAGACTAGCCACCTATTTATGCAAAACAAAACGACAAGTTAACCAATCGTTCTGGAAGAAATTATCACGTGACTAAAACCTAAATTAAGGCTGAATCGATCTTAAACCAAATTATAAGCTATTATAGTACACCACGTTTTGGAAAATAATTGGTTAACCACTCGTTTTGTTTTGCATAAATAAATGGCAAGGCGATGTTACATCTGAGCATCAACACGATAAAAAGCCGAGTTACCTACTTACGTGATAATTATCGCAGCAAAATTATCTCGAAAAATGTAAAAATGTGTCGACATAATTTCAACGTTATTGCAACATATCCTTAGATGATGTTGACATCTTTAAAAAAAAATATGTCGACATAAGTAACTCGCACGATAGCAGAGATATGCCACCATAGTGAATATGGTAAAACACAGATACCTCTATGAATGTGTGATATTGAAAAACAACTCTACTTTTATCAATTTTTAATATTGTGATACAAGAATAATTCTATCAATATATGAATATTGTAAACAGTGTAAATATTGTGAAATCAAATATCAACCAAATATACTGAAACAAGTGTTTCATAATTGTAAAAAACAATTGTCCCATACATCAGTAATTTCTTATCGATTTTGATAATTAATAGATTATATGAAAAGTTTAGAAATATGATTATGTCTTTCGATTGCATTCATAATGTCATTATGTTTATCATGTTTACTTCGCCAATTTGTTCATACCTAATCAAACTGACCGAAGCATCGGTTTTAGCAACAATAGCCTTACAGGAGGGAACTAAATTAAGAGACATTATAGAAAAAAGAAATAGGGAGATTACCTGTGTCTTGTATATATAAACTTTGTATCTATATGTTTATTATGTATCATTATCTATATTTATTAACTAAATGTAACTACATTAAAAGATTGTAGGACAAAATACCCATGTTTTCCATTTGTTTATGCAACAATACATGTGTTGATTTTTAATTTATAAAAAGTCTGGAATCATTTTTATACGATACATATGACTGATTTACAAGGGATATACGTTGAATATTAATATATAAAAAGATGAGGAAACATTTTTATAAAACAATAAATGTAGATGATGCAAAAGAGACATGCGTTGAGTATTCAAAATATGAAAAGGGGAGGATTGTTTTAATGCAACAATACATGATTTGATTAATCTGCGGTATGCGTTGAGAATAAATATATGAGAAGATAAGCATGTATTTTCATACAATACATGTGATATAAAGGTGAGGATTTATTGTTATACAACAATACATGTGAATGATTTACAATATATATGCGTCGACCATTAAAATATATATAGGCTAGGCTCTTATACAACAAAACACATCAATAATTACAAAGGGGGAGCATTGGTGTGCAGAAAGGCATTCAAATATACACAAAAAGAATCGAAGCCCTGATATTTATTTTAAATAAATAATCTCAAACAACGTGGATGCTTTGGCGATATAAAAGTAAATTAAAACATATTAATGCCATAATAGATTTACTCAGTCAAGCAGCCAGTGAAGTAAACAAAGAAAAGACAGATACAGAATAACACTGTGAAATATTTTGACTTGGTTTCATTATGTCGACATTGCATTAGAAATTGGTTACACATATGGATCACGTGGTCCCTCCTTCCGAAATTTGTCGAGTTTAATGTCACATTTTTGTTTTGTTTGGTACTTCATCAGTTTCTTTTGTCGTATTGGTCACCGAATTTGTGATAAAAGTATGTTGACGTTAATGTTTAATTATTAATTTAATTATTTAACATAATTTACGTTTAAAGTTCCATTCAGTCTAACGAATAGTGAATATATAAAAAGGTGCGAAATAATTTCGAAAAAAAGTCCATTACACATGGATTATTCAAAAGGAACATGCGTTGATTATTCAAAATATAAGAAGGTGAGTAATTGTTTAATGAAACAATACATATAATCGATTAGCATACGGTATGCCTTGAGAATTAAAAAAATAGAATGTGAGGATTTATTTCTGTACAGCAATACATGAGAATGATTTACAAGGGACATGCGGAAGCGTTATGAACAGGTTATAAGGACATTTGGAGGGTAGCGATTGTTCGTTCTGGTTAGCTTAACGATATCTAAACAACAAACTTTAATCCATGATATTTTCGGAAAGTTTGAAATTCGAACAATAGATTGACGATAGCGATATCTTAGCTAGTTGTAACACCCTGGGACTTGTACTCTTGTTGACCATCAACCAGCTGTGTATAACTTCACCTTGTGTGTAGGCTATGCGGTCTAATAATCTACAGTGTATCTAGGTGTTGAAGCTATTATTTCTTTTATCCTTTTGTGTTGACGCTGTGATAAATTATGAGATTTGATTACTAGGCCATTGAAACAGGTTTACACACTATCTGTTAAAGGTACTGATTCGGCTTTCCTAATCCGTTGTTCCATTCACCACGGTGTAAGTGGAGTGTTTACATGCAGTTGATTGCTATACATTTGTACATACACTAAACAAAATAGTTTTATGTAAGAGAACAGCTACAGACAGTCGTACCAATACTCAATGTCTGTTAAGCTCTGGAAGGGTACGCGTCATGTGCTGTGTACTTTGATATAATGTCGCGAGTGTTCACCGTACAGCAGATAACCACACATATTCTATGACAGGACTACGGTATGACACCACTGTAAATCTATTTTTAGGTGTAGTATAACCGGGTAGAATTCCAAGTCTTCATAATGTTTGTAGAATTACTTCCTGGATTTCTGTAACTGTTCAGTGTTTCAAGATACAGAAGATGTATGTGGTTGAGGATTAAGGTGAAATATGCTACATTGCCATATGTTCTGTTGTATTCTAAACATGTTATACTGTATTACGTGTATTTGGGCAATGAGTACAGTAATACTTACGTATGTGTGTGTATGTGTGTTTGGTCAATTGATATATCATTTGAACAGTTAAACCAAACGTTTGTTTCACATTTAATTACAAAAAATAATACTCTGCGCAGCATACATCATCAGTAATGCATGGGCTAAGTATTCCTACGTACGTACAAACAACAGATTGATTTAATATTACATTTTATTAAGTATATTTTTATATATCGTGAAAACTCTTACGTCACATTACGTAAACATATATGAATGCTTAGTCACCAGACATTAAATAAGTCAGCCGGGTTAAAAACAAACATGTATTTGTACTTCTTAGTAAGTGTGACTATAACAGATATGGTTTTGTAGTTAACTAAGTCACGCGTATTCTGTCTATACAAACGTAAATATTAAGCTTTGAATAATATGTCTACACATATAATTACACAGCTATACCAAATAAAATAATGACAGTAACGGAGTAAAAAAAGCATAGCTTTATGGTAATATAACAAAACATCTTGTTCCAGCACTGTCATACACACTGGAATAAATAAATCAATATAAAAGTGAAATATTAATACATAACTGATATTTATGGTTACGTCTTCATTGACAATCAGGAAGTGATTGTGCATACAAACAGAAGGTCATACGCATGCGTAATGCTAAAAACGTCATTCCAGTATTGTAGTGAACTGAATAATGATCCTACGCACTGTAGCGTTTTAAGTTCAAGGTGTTAAACAATTGCATTGTTGCACATGGATTAAATTCGCAGTGTCTGAATGAGGCCAAAACGAAGGAAACGCGTATTTCTTATCCCCCTACCGACCCGGCAAATAGCCTCCCTACCTGAAAAAAATCAAAAGCCAAAATTAAGAAATAGCTTTTAAATATATCCATTTAGTAGAATCCACAAACTTGAAGCATTGAAGTGTATTCAAAGAAATTCCTTAATAATTTGAAACGTTTAGAGTCGAATTTTATTACAAATTAAATACACCTTATCAATAACTATTTTATGTTGTTAATGATAAAACAACATCTTTTGAATACCTACCTACCTGCACTAAAAATCGTATGGAAGATGAAACACACCTATACTTGTATTTGGCCTTACTCACGTTCAATAATATATGTATATTGAACGTTATAACTGACTGGTGAACACTATAGGTATGACGTATGTTAATACTTGTATAGGATGATATAGTAATGGTGAACATAATGTTAATATCATCATTATAAGCAGTAGTACATGTAGTAGGAGTAACGGTAGAAGTTAGCAGTAGTTACAATACCAGCATAACTGTCGTGGTGGTGGTATGTTTTGCCAAAGTAAGTGGTCAGTGTAGTTAATGTTATCCCTTTACGTTTGTGCCGTTGTATATTTTGTGTGTGGGGTGTTGTATATATGTGATGTGTTAATGTTGCCGCTGTGTAAAAGGTATCGTGTATTTTTTTTATTAAGTATTGCAATGTGGTGGTAATTTTCCCTCGTGTTTCGACTGTGTTGTGTATTTTGTTACTGAGTATTGACGATGTGGTAATCATGCCCCTGTGTGGACAGTGTTGTGTATTTTTTTAGTGAGTTTTGACGGTGTGGTAACTATGCCCCTGTGTGGATGGTATTGTATATTTTGTTAATGAGTATTGACGGTGTGGTAATAATGCCGCTCTGTGGACGGTGTTGTGTATTTTGTTAATGATAATTGATGGTGTGGCTATTATGCCCCTGTGTGGACGGTGTTGTGTATTTTGTTAGAGAATATTGACGGTGTTGTAATTATGCACCTGTGTGGACGGTGTTGTGTATTTTATTAGAGAGTATTGACGGTGTGGTAATAATGCCCCTGTGTGGATGGTATTGTGTATTTTGTTAAGGAGTTTTGATGGTGTAGTAATTATGCCCCTGCATTTACGATGTTGTGTATTTTGTTATGAAGGGTTATTGAGGGTTGATAATTTTGTCATTGAGTGTTAACGGTGTGGTTAGTTTGTAATTGAGTATTCAGGGTTTGGTAATTCTGTCATTAAATATCCACGGTGTGGTGTAAGTTTGTCATTGATAATTGACTTTGTTGGTGTAATTTTATCGTTGAGAATTGGCTTTGTTGTGTAATATTGATATTGCAGTATGAAAGAGGGGTGATTTTGCATATGGGTTTTGAGGGGCTGGTACTTTTGCCATTGAGTATTGACGGTATGGTTATTTTTGCATTGAGTTGTGACAGTGTGGTAATTTATCACTAATTATTTGGCAAGATAGATATAATAACATTAAATTGTATCTGTAATTTGTTTTAAGTTTAAAAAATAAATTAGAATTTGTATATGTATACTTAGTCATGGTTCCAGAGATATAGGGATTTATCTTTATATTTAGTCATGAAGTCAAGAAAATAATATTTGTTTATATTTTAAGCTATGGTTCCAGAGAAAAAAAAATGTAAATATATGTTCATATAAAGAACATAAATAAATCTGTCCTATCTACCGCTAGGCCATTCTGCCTTCTTCAGGCGGGTGTATATATATTTGGTAATGGTCGAAGAGAACAGAAATGTCTATACCTTCAGTCCTTGTGCAAGAGATATTTTTGTTTTTAATATTTAAGGTCATGGTGCCAGTCATAAAAATAATTGTATATGTATTTAGACATTGTTCTAGAAACATAAGTATTGGTAAATGTATTCAGTCATTATGCTAGAAACAATAATAACTGTACATGTATTTAGTCATTATGCCAGAAACAACAATATTTGTATATGCATTTAGTCATGGTGCCAGAGACGATAAGATAATTTCGAATTTACAAAATTGCAATTCGAACGTAAAGTAAATATAACTAAGGCAAAGTATCAGTGAAACAGAATAATCGGTCATACTAACACGTAATAACATTAGGCTTGAATTTTAAAATTGCAGATTGATTATGGAGAGATGTACGGGATTTTCCCATATTTGCGGAGAAAATGTCCGTATTTTTGAAGGGGGATATGAAGCATCCCCGGATCAGCGATACTCTGGGGTCATTTTTTCAGTGACCAACCTTTACGTCCTTCTGATCCTAAGCTTCGGCTACAACTAGATGGTAGTAGCCATGTTGATATCGGTGTCACCCAAACTGACCCCAACTCGTTCCGTGGCCCAGAACAAGTGCGGCAACTGTATCTAAGCGACAGGTGTAACATCATCAAAAACATCAGAGTTCATAAGAAGACGTGTAAGGCGTTTGTTCAAAACCTTGGCAACAAGGTTGTTTCTACTTACGGTGACAAGACTTTTGGAGTGTCCATTGATTCCAAGCAGGATGTATGGCTCGTTGTTTGTATCAAACTTGGGAATGCCATAGTCAACATCGGTAAGTACATCTAAACATTTCTTATTGTGGTACTAACAATGAATACACAATTGAACATATTAATTATGTAATAAATCACCGAAATAAGTAAAATGAGGAAATATCTATGAAAATGCTATGAAGACTTTCTAACTATTTCAAAATCAATTACAGATACACAATAAGTCACAATGTTTTATATCATTAATGATATACAACATATAAAGTCAAAGGCAAAAGGCTTTTCCAAGTTTTGTGATTTATTGATCTCATGTATTTCAACATTTTTGTGTACGAGTCCTAGAAGGAGGAAACTACAATATGTTACAGTGGAATGTATTTTTTTTTTCATTTTTGGCAAAAAGTATGTTACCAAATGTTAAAGGTGAAATCAACTGCGTGCGTGCGTGCGTGAGTGTGTGTCTCTGTGTGTGTGTGTATGTGTGTGTGTGTGTGTGGTTCATTATAAGTCTGTTGCAATGCTACCAAGACAAAAATAAACAGATTTAATTAAAAGTTCTATTTTGCTTTTGATAACATATTTAATATAAAAAAAATATCTCCGAAGCTTAATTACCTACACTAATTTGGTAAGATAAAAAAGTGGCATGGTCATTCGATTTTGCTGTATAAAATATTATACTTTGAAAACCAGGTAAAAGGCTATATGGTTATATGTCAGTATAGTCAAATGATAATTTAGAAGAAAAACCTCTTTGATGATGTATTATATTGTTTAAACGACTCTACACAATTCTGTAAAATATGCAGAAACGCATAATATATATAAAAAACAACAATGGGTGAGGAAAATACCTCTGGTCCATGTCTGTACTTAGATAATGTTTATTCCTTCTTAACGAAATAGACGTAACGTTATATTGTTAGCCTTGTAATTTGCCGCGGTTATCATTTATTTAAGTTTTCAGCTTACTCTTTTTCTTGAAGCCTTTCACTGTAACATAACTCATTGTTGTTTTAGCTATCTTTTATAGATCAACCTTCTAAGTTCCATGAAGTCACTGGTGAACATGTTGAATTTGAGGGAACAAACAAACACACAGCCAAACTGAAAGTGTCCAATCCGACTGCCATCATGTGTTTGATAGGCAGAGACAGAGACATCACTCCTGCCTTTAGGTACTACTATGCACGGTTCTAATGATATGTTGAGTGAGATCAACAGCAAGATGGACCATTTGGAAAAAACTATTTCCCAGTTGAAGAATGTCGAGAAAAAACAACACGACAAAATGTATGCAGGTTACAAAGCATTGAAGGAAATCGTAGTGGGAATAACCAAGCAAAACACTGCCTCCGATATTGTCAGTATGGCGTCGATCATTCAAGCAAACTATACCGAACTTTTAAGGGATCTAAAACCTCGTGAGCTCATATTCATACTGTTTGAAAACGGAATTATAGATTTGCAAGGGTAGAAAAAAGAGCGAATTGGTACAGTAAAGAGGATCAAAATAACAGACTCCTTGCTTATCTTGGCATTAGACCTGTAAGCCGTAGCGTAATGATTGAAGCCTTGGAGTACTTGAATCTATCTGACCTGAAAGATAAAATGCTGCCGTATGAGCCATATCCTGCTCTCACACCGAGACCGTACCAAAAACAGACTACCAAAGTGCATGAGAAGCACATGCTTGTTGGTATTCGAGTGAGTGGGTGTAGCAAAGAGGATCAAAATGGCAAACCTCTTGATTATCTTGTAAGTAAACCTGTAAACCGTATCATAATGATCGATACCTTTGAGTACTAGAAACAAACACACCTGAAAGGTGATGATATATCATAAAGAAGGGTGTCTATGTGTATCAGAAATATAATGACGTAATAAAAAATAAGCAGAAATCATACGATTACTGTTGAAGCATTTAACTGCTTTCATATGCGGTTCATGTGTATATGAATGCCCACTGGATAACAGGGAAGTGATATGAACCATATCAATCATAATAGTATATTGAAAACATAAAAATATTGTTTATTAGTATGATGATTAAAATCGTTTGTTTAAGAACGATTGTTTCGATGCTGAAAATTTATTTCATTCAAAAAGAAGTGCAACGCACGTGCCGGATTATGCGCATTGACCAGCTGTGGTGTGGTCGAAGACAAGATTCATTGTGATTTATGAAAATATCATTTCATTTCCTTCTACAAGTGATAGATCATAGTAAATACTATTTTATTAGAACATTGTTTTATGGTAGCATAGAAAAAGTATCGCCAAAATATTCAAAACGAAAGTCAAACGTGACTTTCGTGTTTCCAATAGTAACGATTTGGTCACGTCAATTTAACTGATCCGTCCCGTCCATGGTCTGATGACCCAAAACCATAGTAACATTGCAGCACAAATGTAAACATATTATTTTAAACATGGACTTATTATTAAATGACCAGGTTGACAAGGAAATTGGACATACAACAGGAAATGCCCAATCGATGTCAAACACTTCTGGAGAAGCAGAAGCAGGCATGGCCCTGTTACCAGAACTGGCCTATGAGGACAAAGAAGGTAATATTGACATATCTAAAGTCCAAATCCTTTTTTAAATTAATAATTCGTATATGTGTGTGTGTGTAAAGGTTATTTTGTCATATATCTGAGAATGTCAATCAATATTATGCCATATTGGGATATCAAAATATATCAGTGATCCATTTTTTTTTATTTTTTTTTGTTTTGTTTCTTCCAATAAATATTGAAGCCTTGTTTATTTTAGTAAGTGTCTACAACTGACCAGAAGGTGTTATGAAAGTATTATCAACACCTAATGGACTAGTTTTCTGTTCAATGAAAAATTAGATGTCATCTACATATTTGGTTCAGGGTAAATAATTTTGTAATTGTCACCGTAATGTTAAAAAGTATCATATACATACATTGTAGGTTCTGCCAAGTTCATTAAAGCTGTCCAAGAAGGTAATCTTGCAGTTTTACAGGAATTCGAAGCATTTTTCAAGAGCAAAGGTTTCAACTTTGAACACTTTCCAGTGAATCCACTGATTATTATAGCAGTCGTTGGTTCACCAAAAGCAGTTGAGCATGTACAGAGTTGGAGTTCTAATACATTTAACTGGAACGATCAACTATAAATCCCAGTGGGATTGTTTGAAGTTTTATTGGACGAAATGAAAGACAGAAAAGCTACACCGTTGTATGTTGCAACATTTCTGAAGAAACCAGTGATCGTGGAATCCCTGATTAAGTATTCAGACGAACAGAACATTGCCTACTGTATGAACAATATACAACTCATCAACCCGATGGAGATTTTCTTCATGGCAGAGGTTGGGGAACGCCTGAAAAAGGAATATCGAGAATTGAAACCTGCTGTTGTACCTGGTCATCAGAGAGAGGTAAACGGTAGATTGGCCAGAGTAATTATTGTTTATTCTCCAAAAGTGCACGTGACCAATCACATAAAGGACGGGATATGATTTGTGATGATTAGAAACTCTTACAGGGTTGATGATGAAGCCATGACCGTGTCAAACAGCAAGGGAGTAGACGGTGATATTTCCAAACAGGACATGGAAAGGACAAAAAAGCCATTGAATCGCACAGCAAGACACTGTGGTGTAATTACAGCAATCTCAATATTATCAGTGTTTGCACCGTGCGATCTAAACGTAAGGGAGACATACTGGAGAAGTGTCTGTGTTGTGCTATACTGTAGTACAAAAGGAGTTGTACCACTTGGGGGAAAAGAGTTTCCTTCGACATTAGCCTTGGAAGAAGACGATTCTATTGACATTGATGTCCGCGAAGAATATTCTGAATTTGGTGGATATCCGACAAAACCAAGCACAAATCACCATGAATAGCTCAAAATGGGATGTAACATAGGTGCGCTGCCATCACAAAACGGTGGAGGAACACTTGGTCCGTTTGTGCAGTATAAAGGTACAATGGGTTTCCTGACATGCGCTCATGTGTTGTTTGATGTCACTCACCAACACAGTGTGGACTTCACCGATAATGGATCCAATCAATTTCTCGTCGTAAAACCCGCTAAAGATGCTTCCTCCCTAAGTGGTTACCAATGTGGATTTGTACACAGGGTATTTTTTAACCCAAGTATGGATATCAGCATTGATGTTGCCGTGGTGACCATATCAGATGAAACACGGCGACCCACTAAAGGCAGATTTGCTAATGATCACAGTTACAAGTACAGAGAAGCAGGTAGGTACATTTTTTGGGAATTATGGTTTTGCATGTGTTCTCCATCAGATTATCATTCATACATTTTAATATATTATCGATCCCAAGGTAATGAAAATGCATACATTTTGTAGGTTGTTCAATACCTAAAATTCATAAATCAATCATCTGGCGCTGAAAATACATAACCAGTAATTAAACAATAATTCAACCATAACATTACCTCAAAAACTGTCAGAATTTAGGTACTTACATTACATGTCACTGGCACAGTTGATTCGGTACTGAGAGGATTGTTATAGATTCTATATGTGCCTTTATAAATGTCGAAAACTGACAACAATAAAACTCAGAATTTGAGAGTTACAGGTTGATGAAGACCATGGGTACATGTTTCAATCGCCATGGTGATCTCTTTAGGAAATGTTCAATATCGTCGTGTGATAGCAATATCAACGTGTTTGCTAATACACATCAGTTATCATTACTGCTTTGTTGTCATTACCACATATGTCTCTTTAAGAGCAAAACATGGCTTGAATGTGACTTCGATGCACATGGCGGGTGTCGTTGATGAAGCAGACGACGCTTACCCTACCGGGACAAATCTTTGTTTGTTCAAATTGCGCTTTATTTCCACAATTTATAATTGAAATTACGGTGTTGTTCAAGCTAAGATATTTGTCGCTCTTTTGTCCTCCATTTGTTGTTTACACCCGTGTATCAATTGTATATAGAGAGCAAAATGGAAGTCATAAGAAATTAGTACTTCTCGAAATTACACAAAGTAAGACTGTGGTTCAGAAAACGTTATTTGGTTGACATACTCACTCATGGTGCTTTTCTAGTGATTCACATATTTAATTTAAGTGTTTGCTCTTTTGAAACATATCGTCAGTAAAAGCGTAAAGTTAACATTTACCAAATTGGCCCCCTTTTAAAAATGTCCAGCCTTTAGAACGCGCTTAGGACATCTTTTAGATGACCTACATTTCATCGATGGATAATTGTACGTCATATCAGTTAAACATTGGGTTACCTGTTGTGCATTAAACATCCGACTATCTTGTTCTTGAATATTGTAGCTTGTTCGTAATGTTGTCAATTCAAACTCACATAAACCTCCTTCGTATCATATTAAAAGTTTACCTTCTCGGTATGCAACACAAATTCAAACAAAACAAAGATGCCTTATTGAGTTTGTGAATCACATTCTGTCAGGATTTGATGATTTACCGGAATACAACAACGGAGCTATATTACCAGACATTAAACAAATTGGAAGAAGCAACTTGGTTGTCAAATTCGGAAGTGAAACCCAACGGTTACTTGAGAGTGGACGGTGCACAAGTGCGGCCCCTGTCCACTGCCTTAGGACTGCCCTCCATGGCGACCAAACTCTGTATGAAAAACCAGTATGAAGTTATAGGAGACAAATCAGGAATTAACATTTTCCAGCCAGGTGACTCTGGATCAGCAGTGTTTATGTTGGAAGGAACATCTTTACACTGTATAGGGTTAGCGATCGGGCGCACGACTCATGGTACCGCCGTAGTCACGCCTATACAAGCAATCTTAGCCGCACTTGGATCAGACGCTGATTTGAAATTCAGCGTTTCAATGAATAATGATAGCATGTGTTTTTGCCTCTTCCTATCAACGTCAACATGCATATACTAGAGATATGAATAATAGCAATAATGTAAAGCTACAGTAACTTTTCATGAATGTTCCAGAGAAGATACATCCTTAAGACATTATTAAGATTTAGTGTTTCCAAAATGGTGGCCCGCATGGAGGCGCAAGGCATTTCCCGCTGGCACAAATTTTCGAAGTTGATGGTTATTGGATTCACTGATTACAAGACAATACCAACGGGTGTTACCGTGAGAGCTTCAATTTTATCCCCGTGTTCGCGATGAGAAACTTGTTCTCACGACAAAACCTAAAACCACAGTGTGATAATCTTTGAATACCACATAGTTTGAACTTGGAATGACATTCATTGTTCGATGTATTTTCCACTTTACCTGAAGCCTTTTTATTATATTTTTAACTGAAAGCTTTACCTGTCGACAAATCTACACAACTTTTTGCTACAAAATGTACATTGATAAAAAATATTAATTAACAGCTTCTTCTGCATAATTTCATTTCATTGAAGACACAGTGTAATCGTTCTCTACACTTTATCATGCTTTATCAGAGTTACTTACTTTTATTACCATTTTTTGGTATGGAATTTTTCATGATGGATACTTCTGAAATCCATTTTTATGTCTAGTGTAATCAGACAAGGTTTTCATTAATTTTGCCTTGATGGTCTAGCAGTTCTGCTATTCTAAGGATGTTGCTGTTGTTTATCCAGTTAAATACAATCAGAACTTTCTTTCTATATTGATAACCCCCCTCCCCATATCAATTAATTTGCAATATCTGTAATACTTTTAGGAAGTAGATTTTATATCAACCTTTATCTAACCAGGATTTGAAGATATCCTGGTAAAACAATGGTAATTGTGTATAACCGTCCAAATGATTTATATTATCTATAATATCTGAGAATATCAAGATAGTATGCCCATATTGATTTAGGAAATGCTTTTGTATAGCTGTCCATTGACTCATTATCATCCTTTATTAATTTTTGAACCCACCCACACTGAATAATTAGAATGTGCGATGTCAAATCTAACATTTGCAAACCCCCTCTTTTGTATGATAAGAAGAGAGTGTTTCGTTATAATTCGTTGTAGTACATGTAGTACTGTAAAATAATAAGTAAGTTAGGGAATTAAAAGTGTTTAAGAAATCTTTATTGATCTAATTATGGGCGGATTGGTCGAGTGGTTAACACTCCGGTTTTCCACCCAGGCGACCGGGGTTCGATCCCCGAAGTCTTTGTACGCATAGATATTCAGAGAAAATGTGTTTCTCCTGCCCACACAACTCTAACAACCCAGGTGGAGTATAAATTAGTCTGGGATGGATGTTGCGGTATATGTGCTGTAGCGTTCAAGTGAGGTGGCACTATAAATGATGCCGTTGGCAGCATGGTCCCACTGCAAAGAGAACGCATTACATCTCCAGCAAACACGCAGGCATACACACATAGGGAGATATTAGCCAGGAGGCAAAGGACTAGTAGTTAGCGCCTGATAAGGCAGCCCCTGCAAATTCCTCAAAATTGAATTGATTAATATATATGCTTATTGTATTTATTATATGCATGACAATTTCTCGCAATCACATTGGTCGGATAATGTATATACAGGTGACCAGTCCTCAAAAACTCAAGTAGACTGGTTATCCGGTGAATATCGATTTCTAAATATAGCCTATATGGAAATTCACTGGAACCTATCGTAGCGCATGCACAGTTAGACCAGAACGCGATCTGTCAGACAACATTAGAAGATGGCTGCTGGCGATCGTTTCTCCTCCGTTACATCAGAAAATTACCAAAACTATTCGAGGATAAAGATGCTGTTAACATATAGAAGGCCATTGAAAACGCAGTGCATGTCCTCAATGCATATCTAAAGAAAAAGAACCTAGACGATGCCTTCGAAAGCTACAACTAAGGAGGCAGGACCCATATCGGATCAGTATCCAAATTAGTTCACTTTTTGTAAAAACTGTTTTAAATCAATGAATGTGTCCACGTATCAGTTATAACAATGATGTAACTTTAGAATAGATAGTCATACACCATTTTTTGTCTACAGATGATTATTTGTTAAGTTCTAATAGCACTAGAAAACGTAATTCAAACTCAAATGTCGGTGTTTTGTTTACATTTTTAGAAAATGGCGCGTACGACGATTATCCATTTTGTTTTGGACTATAGAAATAAATTCACGCTATATAAATAATTGTTTTCATATTAGTTCCAAAGGCCATCATAACATGCTAATATGCTGACAAAACAATATTCATTGGAAGCGTAAGATAATGCAAAATTCAAGCCTTGATCCGATTTGGGTCTTGACATTCGCAAAAAACCGGAACCGCTGATAGGTGATGTCAGAGCGTTCTAAAAATATTTCACGTGAGCCCCATGTACTATTTTTTTTGTAAGAACACCCATCGATATTCTTCCTTTCATACAACCATAAATGAGTATAATTCATCCTCAAAATTGTCAATGAATTAATAAAACGATGGTTGGTTGATCCGATTTGGGTACTGTCACTTATGCTGAACTGTTGAATTCAAACCTGGCTAAATTTTACTCGGAGGCTCGCGTACAAAAATCAGAACCTTGAGTTTTGTTTTATTTTATTTTATTGTTGAAGCATATAATAAAACAGTTATGGGCTTTTGTGCTGGTAAAAATGATGTGATATGAATCTGAAAGTGTGATTAACCAAGGCGAAGCCGAGGTCAATATCACTTTTTCAGGCTCATATCACATCATATTTACCAGAACAAAAGCCCATAACTGTTTTATTATATGCTTATCATAGCATATCATATTCACCAGCACAAAAGTCCATAATTGTATATTATTGTATATATATGTACAGTAAATCATTTTTCATATTGATTTTATAATGATTTTGAGAGCAATAAGCGGTTTGCTAACTATAAACTATGCCAAAGAGATTGTTACAAGTATGCATATACGTGTACGTTTTACATAAAAAATGTACAGATTTGTCAAAAGGTGAAGCCTTCAGTTAAAGATATATTATAAAGGCTTCAAGTAAAGTGAAAAGTACATTAATGCAAAGGATGTTTTAGCAAATGTTGTTATGGTCCTGTAACACATATTGCTATTGATGACAAACTTGATAAAACACTCAATATTTTTTTCAAATATTCATTGTTTATATTTACATTTAGATAGAGTCGTTCAGCATTTTGTAGTTATTTCCAACAGTTATTTGAACAGCAAATTTAGTCTTGAAAGTGAAATTGATGACGTTACAATAACAAATATTCAAAATAGTCTCCCAACTGAAAATAAAACAAAAAAATCCCCGAAGGTGTTATTCCTATTTTCGAACTAAAGTAAACTTTCCTCACTCCCTAGGGGGGAATTGTTGACCATGGTATAATGAACGTTCCTATTTTGATGAAGCACCTAAGGTATTTCCGTCCAAGAAAGGTATTTGAATCTAGCATATATGTATCTAGATTCTAAGACGATTCTTGAAATATAAGCTAATTTGACCACTTCGGCTCTGCCCCTCAGGCCCCTAGATATCTAGATCCATCTAAATTACACTTTTAGTTTGCTTTTGGCTATGGGACGTCTCTATTAGCGGCAAAACTAGGGCAAAAAAACTAACAAAGAAAAGTTTTACATTGAAACCCAGGTGAATAAGATTAAGTACCTTCAGACCAGATGTTGCGAAAAGGTAAGCGCCCTTGTTCATCGACAACACTTGCCATGTAGATCAAAGACAAATGCAAGTACATGTAATGTCACGTCCTCACATTGAGACTGGAGTAAAACCACCAGGCAATCTAATTAGCATAAAATGTTTACGATATGACTGCCAAATCATTAATACACAAGGACATAATTAAACGCCTAAATTAAAAACAAATACAAAAAGACAACAGGAATTAAAGGGACCCACATTGAAAAATATATATAAACCTGATAACTTATTTTATTTTCAAATCTTTCTGTCACCTTTAAACAACCGCACGTCTTTAGTGGTCAGTAATAGTGTATCCTTTGACTTACAACTAAATACTGACTTTATCCACAAATAAGGTAAGACATGTTAATTTGAAAGATTCTAATTTTAAGATTATTTCCCACGGCTGCGTAATCTTCGCTTTTCATGAAAAGTTCAAACAAAAATGCAATGCATATTAGTATTTTCCCCACTATAACAAGAAAGTTATAATAAATATATTTAAGCAGATTTCTTATCTAAATTATGTAATGAAATATTATAATTACTTACTCTTCATTCTTTGACTGCGAGCCACCCATTTCGATATTGTATAAGTCAGGTAAGATGAAGTGTCACCAGCTTTATCCGCTGTAAGTGCTATAGAAACAAACGTATATACAGGGGAAGAAAAGCTAGTACTCCATGTTAAGACCAATCAACGATTTGTTTTCTAACAAAATATAACATTCACCACAGTCGTGAACGATTTTTCTATTTATGGGTCTTAACATTACTAAACTTTCTTATCTTGACTGCGTCATCTGACTTCCATGAAATGTCTAAATACTTATATTGATTTAGTATTGCAATCGTAACATGAATCTCCACAGTAATCAAACTATGGTCTTATCATAAAAAGAGGTAGCAAAGGGTGATACAATCTAGATACAATGTGGCCAAATAGAGGAACGATAGAGATTCCACGTATTGTAATAGCGACAGAAGATAAGTACCGATATCCTTTCTATGAAAAGAAAAAAAATAAAGCTCACAATACTGCAGGAAATTAGACGAATTGAAAGGAATTGATTTCCCGTTATGGGAATGCATGGCTTTAGGTGGCAGTCAACGATGCTATTGCAGGTGATTATTATTGTCATTCAGATAACACATTAGACACGTCAGAATCTATTCGTAAAGGGTTAGGTTTGGGACAGATAACAGGGTTATTAATCAACCACGTAAGGAGGCTGGGTTCAGTTTGGCAGATACATAGTTCATGCAAATAATATTTGCGGACAAATACTGACTTGTGCGAGGAAGTAAGTCAAGTTAAGGAGAGGCAGAAAGGCGAACTGAGGGTAGAAATACATATAAATGAAAATGGGCCGTAGCGTACAGGACAGGTTTTTAAAGATTTAATTTAATTTTATATTTGAAGAAACTGCTGTGAACGGGAGACAGTTGACCAGTATGAAAACATGTCTCTTATAGGCAGTACAAAAGAAAGGAAAATAACAGAAATAGCAGCATTTGGCTCCAACAAGGCGTAAACAATCCGTTACAAATGTCGGGCTTTAACAATCTATGACTATCCAAGGGTTCAACACGCCTCCTTTTGTGGACCCCTTGATTTCTTTTCGTTCTATGACCGCATAGCGATGATTCACACAATATACAATGCGATATTTTATTTGCTAAAGACCTATTTGAAGATTTACAATACATTATAAATGATTGTGATTCAGCAGTTCTCGACGTTCGTGTAGTGCATAGCGCAACGACTCTGAGAATCATGCTGTTGCTCTTTTCAGCTCTGAAGGCATATATGAGTGCTCCAGTCTCCAGTAAAAACAAATTGATTTTATTGAATACAAGAATACATTATAAGAAACCGTGTTAAATTTGAAAAGTTAAAGTTTGTTTGAGCTATTCCTCAGGACGTACTACTGGGACTTGTAGGTTTCCCATCGCCTCTAGTTATTCATATATAATTTTGGGACTGACAAGAAATATTTTGAATTAAGGGATTTAAAGTGTGTTATCTCTTGTAAACTGATTGAGAAATCGTTCCCAAATTTCGAAGGTAGATTTTCTATGGTACATAGATGTGCATATAGAATTTACAAATCGATCGGAAAACCAAAATGGCCGACAGGCGATAATGTTGAAATTTGATAATTAAAAGGTATTACCGTTATTGATCAGGAGGCACCGGAGGATTCTTTTTCAAGTTTAAAATGTATTTTTTCAATGGTCATGTTTTGTTATCATACCTATTCGAATGGCTGAATGACCACCAGACAGCAGTCATTGAATTATAATCGAAGTATGTCGATTCTCATAGGTCCTAAATGTTCACATTTAATTCTTAGGTTGATCCGGGAAAACAGTGGTTCCCAGAAACCAATGACAACCACTCTTTGAAAGAACAGTGACATACACAGAAGTATGAAGATTTGATGAAAAGTGACTCTAAGCTTTTTTTTCTATTTACATGATTCACTCCCAATGATTACAGATAAAAAAGAAAAACATATCAATCTTACATAGAACCTATGAAGATGGTGCGACGAGAAAATATTTGTTAAGAAATTTATGTTTTATGTGATGTAGTGTCACTTTGTTTTAGTTAATATGTCACCCTGAAATGATAATAAAATTAATGTAATATTGTTCAATAAAATTGTTTGATGAATTTCGTCATCGTGTGCGTTTGATATATATGGTTGTCTTAAATATATTTAGTAGTTCTTTGTCCGTATATGTTCTTGGATATACTAATTTGGAGTTTTGTTTGTCGCTTAAATAAACCTTATTCATGCATGTGTGACGTACACAGACATGGTCATCGATCAGATAAAAGATATTGGCGCGACTTCATACACATATTTTAACAGACTTGACGATATCGTTAGTAACAAACTGCATTCAATTACTAACTGTATTTCAAGTAACATTACTGTAAAGTTCCTTCGATGATTTCACTACATAGAGTTTCAGATTATCGATTGTTACAATTTTTCCTAATTATCAGTTTGAACACAGTTTTACACATCAAAGTGTTTTAACGAGAATCGTGATCTGTGTTCAATTCTATTTCAAAACATCTTTTATCGTGTTAATGATATGTATGGTGTGTTAATAACGGTTAATCAGAAAACCCTTAATGTGGAAATTAATATTGTGAGTAGCGAGACATAAAGGTGAGCACACGTACTAATCAAATAGGACCTGATGGTACATTATATTTTTATGTAAATGAATAAAGACAAGTTATATTATGTTACCGTTAGTAAAGAATACTCTTTAAGTGATAAATATATTTTCTAGAATATTGTCAGTACATTTCATTCTCTTATAATATTATAGATGATATACAAATAAGTAACAGGTAGGATATTTCGTATTAAAATTAGTACAGGTAACATTAGGCTTCAGTGTTACATGCAATGCGTCCCCATGCGGTGTTTTAAAGTTTTATTACAGGGTTAAATCAAACATTGCATTGCCTTAACCCAGCCAGGAACAATGGGGCACCCTGTGATTTATTCCCGACTGTAATTTATTTTGTAAAACTCCTGTTACGTGATAGTCGTGAAAACTTAAGGGGTAATGTGTACACCTATACTTGTGGATTGATCGTTCACGATGCACTGACTGCAAGAAATAACAAAGGCTGTAGTAACTCGGATTTACCAAAGATTTCAGCCCCTGGATCAAACATGCACAGTGCAATCGAAAGACCCTTTAATCGTTAAACGTTGATGATACACCATAAAGTATTTATTGTTTGTATTGATTCAGTTACAATTACTCGCACATCTATGAATATGTTTGCAATATGCTTTTCTAGTTTACTTTATTTATTATTCCACTAGATGGGGAAACCAACCCATGAGTATCATAATGAATCTGGTTTGAGACAGAATAGCCGGGTGTATATGTTAATGTCATGTCCAACATATTGACATCATCGTAATTATGACGTCATTATTGTAATGTTGGATATCATTGATTCTCCCTTGACAGATGTATGTTCTATGAATGCCTCAAGCCTACAAGATAATACAATATTTTTTGCAAAATGCAGAATTTCAAGGGGCATACTTAGAGCTATGTGTTATGAAAATGCTCCAAAACTAGTAACTATAAGCATGAAGTTATGTTTATATAGACGTTACTGTCTTTATGAATGACACAGCTTTACAGGCAAACAAACGTAAATTCAATATCAGCACAGTTCAGTGCTTAAATTGTACTAGATAATAATAAAGCATATATGGGTACCTAGCTTTTTAATGGTCATAATTACGTACCGTTCTTCATGTAATTGTAAATCACAATAAGGTGCATATGGCCATCACACCATTTGCCATAAGTAAGTAAATGCGGGTACCTAGGTAATCGTAAAACATGGTCATGAGCATACGGGTACTTAGCTAATTATTAATAATGATAAAGTGTATACAGGTATCTAACTAATTGTAAATCTCAATTTAGTACAGGTTAAATAAAGATAATTTCTTAATTCATACAATCCATAGATACAGTTGGGAGCAAACTTAACTTGATATATTGTGAACATCGTAGTGCACATGTAGTGAGCAAGGAAATGCACTTGACAAAACATTGAAGTGCACTCCAGTTCACTTCAGTGTTAATTCCAGTCCACTACGATGTTAACTTCATTACACAACGGTGTGAACTGAAGTGCACTACTGTGTTTACCAAAGTTTAAAAGACTGAAGTACATATTTCAATAATTGTTTATAACGAAATGGGTTCCTTTGTGATATGCAAATTGAAAGAGAAAGGATAGAATCATTCAGCCGAATATTTCATGAAATCGATACCCATATTTTTTGTTTTTTAATTGTTTCAAAGTTCAAATAGAATTTTTACACTCTCTCTGGTGATTATAGAACATATATAGATAGCTGTATTATTTCAGAAGGAAATGTTTAAAAATACACATCCCATTTCATATCAATGGTGTAGTGTCAGAATAGGGGATCAGAATCTGTTATGTGATGATGTTGTAAGTTTTTCGATAAATTTATACTTTTTAATGAAAGATGAAATACCAGAATTTTTTTATATCATGGCACGACAATATATATATGCATAAAAGTTAAAGCTCAGCTAAAGATGTGCATTCATATAAGTTCGTTAATCCAAAATTTCCTTCATATAGTAAAACCTAAGAAAACCTATTAGTTAGTCTGAATTTATTTCTTTGTTATCTATGTATGCACGTCCGGTACCTGTACATGATGATTGTTTAATAGAAAATACATCCACCAAAATGAATATTCAGAAACATACGTATATGGTTCACTATCATGTACAAATTAATATAACGATATATCTATATATTTTATGTAGACATTAAACTGTTATAACTATAAAAGGAACTTAAATGGTGATTATGTATTGGCGACAAAGTATTATCAACCTTAAACCACCAATAAATGTATATCGGTTCATTGGTTCATTGCAGATGACACCGTTGTAAGCATCTAGTCGCTTCTTAAGGTGCTTCTAAATACTGTCCACTCCACTTCCGGTTGCATTTGGAGGCATTAAGAAGACTTTATTTCTCAAATCTAGTGAAAATAATGTACATG